TGTTAAGATGCATACTTTATAAACGATCTCCAGTGTTAAGATACATACTTTATAAACAATCTCCAGTGTTAAGATACATACTTTATAAACGATCTCCAGTGTTAAGATGCATACTTTATAAACGTTCTCCAATGTTCAGATGCATACTTTATAAATGATCTCCAGTGTTAAGATGCATACTTTATAAACGATCTCCAGTGTTAAGATGCATACTTTATAAACGATCTCCAAGGTAGCCCAGCATGCTACTAAGCAATAAGCATCACACTTGGCCTTTTGGTTATTCAAAAGAAGTTGCTTGAAGACCTTTTTCATCTTTAACCATTGATCTTGGAAGTGAGACAATGTCATTCATTTGAACAAACTTGGTAGCACTTCATCCCAGTAAGCAGCCAGATAATCATCACCCTGGGTCTTTTGGTTACTCAGAAAAAGTTGTTTAAATATTTACACATATTAGAATTTGATCCCTGTGACCTTGAAAGTTGGTCAATGTCATTCTTTTGATCAAACTTAGTAGCCCTTCATCTCAACTTTGGACCAGATGAGCTAAAAATAATTTATATCAACAAGGCAAACCAAAGTCACCCAACAGTCATTATTTCTTAATTCACCAACCTGTACAATTATCTCGGGATAAAACTTTTTCAAAGACAGAGGTTTTTTAGCCCACCATCATCTGATGGTGGGCTATTCAAATCACCCTGCGTCCGTGGTCCGTGGTCCGTCCGTAAACAATTCTTGTTATCGGTATTTCTCAAGAAGTACCAGAGGGATCTTTCTCAAATTTTATATGCAGGTTACCCTTAGTCCTTAGCTGTGAGGGCAACTTTTGAGACTGATTGGATAAACAACATGGCCGACAGGCAGCCATCTTTGATTTTGATATTGAAAGTTTGTTATCGCTATTTCTCAAGAAGAACCAGAGGGATCTTTCTCAAATTTTAAATGTAGGTTCCCCTTGATCCCTCGTTGTGTATGTTATATTTTGAGACTGATCATAAAAACAAAATGGATTAAAAGAAGAACTAAACAGATCTTTCTCATATTGCAATGATCGATTCTATTAGTACTGTACTAGTAAATATGTGAAATGACAAACTCACTTTGAAGGTTGGCTTTCATACACATCAGTATTAAGTTTAGATCAAAAGTTGCATTTACTGTTAACATGACTCGATCAAACAGATTAGAGGAAAGAAGAGCAAAGATCGAACTGACAAAGAACTAATGAAGATGGTACAAAGGTGGGCGCCAAGATCCCTCTGGGATCTCTTGTTATTTGCAGTTATGAAATATAATCTTACCCAAGAAGGATGGCAGCTCTTCTCATATTCTTGGCTAAATGTTTTACATTTTGATTCAGCAAGGCTTTCCGGCGTCCGGTCCAGACACTTCCAATAGGCATCCCTGGAACTATAACATTCTTTTCTGCTTTGTTTTCCATCTCTGAAACCAACAGACAGAATTAATTGCACAAGGTATAGAAGAAAGCATGTATTCCTGCTTACAAAGCTATGTCAGATTTCAAATCCTTTGCTTTGATGTCTTGATGGTGCTGCACAGTAACCAAATTCAGGAAAATAAATATTGTGACAGGTGCCTTTGTTTATAAATATTACTTTCCCTTCATGTCCATGTAATTTTTTTTCTAATGACACTCAATATGTCCATCTATACGTATCTGTGTTTTTATAGGGCGAAACAACCTGGGGCGAACGGGTTCGAAACAACCCGTTACCGGTGATGTCATCAGATCAATTGTTTGTTTGAGTGATTTTAAGTCGATACAGAATAGTTCGGCTTTCAGCACGATTCAGATGAATGATGCGAGGATACATGTATACTAAAGCTATACCTAATTAACCCATCAGTTTCCCCCATCTCTCTTCGTGTTCAGGCAGTGCTTCAATACAACAGGAAGTGCCTCACAACACACAACTCATATATATACCTGCGCAAATGTAGTTCATTATGAGCTTATATTTTAGAACAAATGATATTATATACCCCACTGAAAACTCATTTACAGATTGTTCGTTATTCATGGGTTATTTTTCCAGGATAACTTTAATTACAAAACTCTTATTTGAGTGAAATGCGTACGAATATAAAAAGTAAATAGAAGTACTTAACCGGAAGTAGTATAGTCCACAGCAACATGGACGATGTTATTTAGAAAATCACGTTATGTGGAAGGAATGGGAAACGACACGTGCATCGGCGATGCATTGAAGATGTAAAATAAACATTTCCTTTTCATGTTTCTTTGATAAGATGAACATCTTGATATAATGTCCGAATGCACTCATGATACCACAGGAGCTGAGACAGAACAAGTATTTTCAGAGTTGCAGAAACGCAAAATGGAGGGGGATGTCGTGACGTTGGATGCTGGTGATCCTCAAACCCCAATCAAAACATTAATGATTGACAGTGATTTGCCAAATGGCAAGATCAAACATAGAGTCAACGAAAATGGGTTGGTGTCGCATATACTCACAACCGAAAGTCCCAGATTGACCGAGAATTGCGATGCACCCGAGGAAGTGGAAGTGTGTTCCTCTTGCGAAAGTGAAAATACGATTGATACACCACTGACTGAACGAAGCAGTATTGACTGTGCTGGTCTTGGAAGTGACGCAGAGTCGTCGTTGTGTGAAGCCGTGCAACACTTAGGGATATATGCACCGGGAGGAAGTGATATAAAAGAAGGAATAGAGTACATAGTGTACAAGTCAGAATTACAAATGCCTGATATCATGAGACTGATAACTAAAGACTTGTCGGAACCATACTCCATTTATACGTACAGATACTTCATTCACAACTGGCCAAAATTGTGCTTCCTTGTAAGTTGTAAGGAACTGTTAAGTTGTTATATTTAATTTCACGAATCCAGCAGAATCCACACATATGTTCTGCAGTTAGTGTCGACAGAATGCCCAATATTATTTCAAGTGAGGATGTGCATCAGCCTTAAAATATGAAGGAATCGAAAATGCAATAACCTCTTGGAAAGTTGAGTTTCCAACCAAATCAATGAATTGAGATTCCGTCTTGTTTTTTCATACTTTTGATTTCAGCTGATGTGCTAATCAGTGGATAATCATCAGAACATAAATGTATACTGTCAGTTTTTAGTTCAACTGACATATCGAAGTCAGGCTTTGACACTACATAAAACAGGGGTCCCATGGCCCATGGAGTTAAGGAGGACAAACTAATCCACCCACCCCCAATCCAGGCCAGCTTTTTCGGGGTGGGGGGGGGGGGGGGGGGGGGGCAGAAGTTTTGAAAGTGGAAAGTGTCGGCCTCATTTCCAGGCATTGCATAAAGAAATTCTGTTAATGTTGCCTGGGCAGGGCTTTCAGTTGACCCTTGATATTTAGCAATTTCAGAAGTCAAATAGAATTATGCAAAGGAGACTGTTTTAATACTGGTTCTTCCAATAATTTCTTGCAAATGTTCAGGCTGCAACTATTTAACTGTTAAAGGTACCAGTGTATCTTATGAAACTTGCAGTAAATTCTTTTGCAGTGTACTGTCAATATATATGGGTCACTATAACCTTCTTGACTTCAAGGCCAAAGGTCAAAGAGCATACTTTCCAGTAACATCTTGTCCATACGGTAACAGTTAATCTGTTAAAGCTATCTTGATTAATCTTGCAGTATATATACCTGCATTGCCAAAGACAAAATACAGTGCTATGTTATTAGGTCACTGTAATGTTAACCTTGACCTCAAATGCAAAGGTCAAAGGCCAACTTTTGAGTATATATAATAAAATCAGATTTTAGATAAGATATAAAGAAACTTCAAGGTCAAAGGTCAAATGAGTGCAAATTTTCCAGGAACATCTTTTCCAAGCAATAACTTAAAATATAAACTACTTAAAAGATATCATAAAGTTTACCTGCAATGCCCACAGAAGATGTCACTGTGACCTTGACCGTTAAGGACAAAGGTTACATAGCTGCAGACTTTTCAGTAACTTTTTTGTCAGTTCTGTAACTAAAAGGTTCAAGATATCTTGATGAATTTTGCTGTATAGCTAGAACGTTAACCCTCTCCTTTCTTACACATTTTATGAAAACACTTTCTTTCTTTTCACAATAGGCTATGGATGGAGCCAGATGTGTTGGAGCCATAGTTTGTAAATTAGATATGCACAAGAAAATGGTACGAAGAGGATACATAGCAATGTTAGCTGTAGATTCTGATTACAGAAGGAAAAGAATCGGTAAGATGAAGTTTTCATGTCTTTTATCTCATTTAGTGTTAATGTCTGAAAGTGTTTTAGTAGGAAACATGTTATAACTTGTATTGGTGTTGGTTTTAAAACAGTCTGAAGATGAATGTAACATTGTGCAAATTTACTATGATCATGAAATTAAAGGCCAGTAGAAATGTACATGTTCAATGTATTTGCTGGGATGACATTTTACAGTTAACAGTATAGCATTATCCTTTGATATTCAAAATTAAGACATATCCTTTTGCTGTAGAGCTAAAACAAATGTTCAAACATTCACAAATAAAGACCCGATTCCACAAGTATTCACATGATACATTGAAATTTACTTCTTTCATACAAATCCAGCTTCGGATTAAACTATAAATATGTATATATTGGACGGTGATAATTTAGTACAAAGTTAGTGCTTCTATTAAAAATATGGAGTAGAGTCCACAATGCATACCGTAATATACCTCAGCATCAAATTTGATTGAAATCAAACAATATCTGAGTTTTAACCAATGAGTGGTCATTCCACAGCTGCCATTTATCTTGTTCAATGATCAATTGATAACTCACTGGCGTGTCGTATTAGAGTGATAACTCACTGGCGTGTCGTATTAGAGTGATAACTCACTGGCGTGTCGTATTAGAGTGATAACTCACTGGCGTGTCGTATTAGAGTGATAACTCACTGGCGTGTCGTATTAGAGTGATAACTCACTGGCGTGTCGTATTAGAGTGATAACTCACTGGCGTGTCGTATTAGAGTGATAACTCACTGGCGTGTCGTATTAGAGTGATAACTCACTGGCGTGTCGTATTAGAGTGATAACTCACTGGCGTGTCGTATTAGAGTGATAACTCACTGGCGTGTCGTATTAGAGTGATAACTCACTGGCGTGTCGTATTAGAGTGATAACTCACTGGCGTGTCGTATTAGAGTGATAACTCACTGGTGTGTCGTATTAGAGATTACGTTGCCATCATGCAGCAATATATATATACACCAAATTTCAGCAAAATCAGATATTTTGATTTTGCATGACCAATCAAATGCCAGTTTATGGTAGCCATCTTGTTTAATGACTTAATGTAAATCATGTTATGGTTTGCAGTGTCATATAATACACCTGTATAACAAATTTGAGCAAAATCAAACAAAATTTAAATTTTGACCAATCAGAGGCCAGTTTATACTGTGGCAAAAAAATGGGTGTTAAATTTTTTCAAAGTACAGGTAGGCTTAAGTCCCCAAATTCATTTAGGGGACTTATAATGGTGAATAAAATGAAATTTCTTTAAACGATGTATATGCAATTATATTTGTTTGGATACACATTAGTTGAATATATTTCAACTACTTGCTGAAATTTTATCGAATTCCTCCTTCCTCTGCAGGTTCTCATCTTGTCCGTAAGGCAATCAGAGCTATGATACTAGATGACTGTGATGAGGTAAGAAAGTTCATACCAAGTGTATAGCATTTAGTGTATAGCATTTAGTGAGCCAAGTACAGGCGTTGTTAAGTTTGGTGAACAAAATATGTACATGTTTAGTGCAAGGTTTGGTGAGTAAATTACCACCAATTATTATATTTTCTCCATGTAAAATAAAACAAGTTTATTATGTTATTGTCAGACATGTGCAGTACTTTATGGCTATCTTCTTCTTTGTAATATAAAAAATAGGAATATTTTGTGTTTTTGGTTCTTATTGTTTCTATGCAAGTTCCTTCCACTGCACAACTTCCATGGCATGTGATTGTCATGGGATCGTAATTGACATAGAGCAGCAAAATATTAAAACGTTGATGGGACAACATGTAATGCAAAAACATGTAAATCATGACTGTTTATATCACTTCTTTCACCCTACTGACTGTTACATTACACAATCGTTAGCTAAGACGCAGTATGAGGCTAGTCCAGAAATCATTTTGAAAGTGAAGTGACCACAAATTGCAACTTTCTTGAATTTTTCCGGTTCCGGTTCAGACAACCTAAAACTAATCGAAAACAGTTTGATTGTGTATTATAATATATGGGTTATTATAATATTTTTCTCTGTCAGATGAAATATCATCATAATAAGCAGATTCCACCGTTCTTAGACCACATTATCATGTGCTATGTCTATGTAATAATAAGCCAAAATAATGAAGAAACACTTTGTAATTTATATACCATTGACAAAAATTATTTATATGTGGCCTATTAGAGGCTACCTATAGAGGGGCTGGGGATATATGGGTAAATCTTCTATTAATGACGGTTTATATGCACTATTTACTGAGAAAAGAAAAATCTATTAAATATTTCATGAAAATTCATATTACATGTATTTAGAAAAATCTGTCTTTTTGTCTGTACAATATGCATTCTTTGGGGCAGGTAGAAATTATTTTTATCAAGTGGATTACTAAGGTCTACTTACCTTGGTCAGCTGCTTTGAAAAAGATGTTTTTACACCCCTGCCCCCTTGGGATTTAGCCCTCATTACAGCTTACATTTCTTTTTATAACTGTTATTTACAATGTTTTAAATTGAAAATAAACTTCCAGGTCAGTTACTAAAGCCTTCGGGCCTCTTTTTCTTGCAGGTTGTTCTTGAAACAGAAATAACCAACAAAGCAGCCTTGCGTCTGTATGAAAATCTAGGATTTGTACGCGACAAAAGATTATTCCGCTACTACTTGAATGGTGTGGATGCATTACGACTGAAGCTGTGGTTACGATAGACTTGTTGTGTACAGAAGTGTTGGTTATGAACAGCAGTACTGTTTTATTGTTTGAAGGAGTTGTGTGTGCAAAGGGGAAATATAATTGGATAATTTATTTTGCATCATGCATGTATATATATATAGTTACCAGAGAGACTGTATGTTTGGTTTATGAGCAACAGTAGGTATATAGGTGGATGTTGAACCAAGGACCATTACCTCTTTCTTGTGTTCAGTGAATGTAATGTGTTATTTGTCATTTACCATCGTGTGGTTAAAATAGGCAGACTATACAGACAAAAGTCAGTCGTGTGGTTATAATAGGCAGACTAGACAGACAAAAGTCAGTTGTGTGGTTATAATAGGCAGGCTAGACATACAAAAGTCAGTCGTGTGGTTATAATAGGCAGACTAGACATACAAAAGTCGGTCGTGTGGTTATAATAGGCAGACTAGACAGACAAAAGTCAGTTGTGTGGTTATAATAGGCAGACTAGACATACAAAAGTCAGTCGTGTGGTTATAATAGGCAGACTAGACAGACAAATGTCGGTCGTGACGTTATAATAGGCAGACTAGACAGACAAAAGTCAGTCGTGTGGTTATAATAGGCAGGCTAGACAGACAAAAGTCGGTCGTGTGGTTATAATAGGCAGTCTAGACAGACAAAAGTCGGTCGTGTGGTTGTAATAGGCAGTCTAGACAGACAAAAGTCTGTATTTAGCCTCCTACTTTTATACTCATTCTATCATTTTTTAAATTATTAAATATTTTGTTCTGAACCAAACATAATTAAAAAAGTTTTATCAAGTTAGATTCATCATCAACAGCAGCTGATAGCCTCGTTTTTTGTGACAGTTTGTCGATGCATCATAAAGGGATACTGATTCTTGCCTAAAGAAAGTCATTAGATGTTGAACTGCCAGTGTGAGTGACGTTATTGTGATCACCAGTTTGTATATATGGCCTCCATTACACTAGAAAGTCAACCAATCAAGTGCTTTGTGATGAAAAATGGTACTGGAAATATACTTTCATATTTTTTATACAAAGATAATAATCATTTTGTGTTTTGAAATGTTAAAAGAGTTTCCTGAAATTGTACCCTCATCTGTTCAATTCTGTGTTATAATTACTTTAGAAAAGTGTGAAATGTCTACATTATTTTCAAAGTCCCAAGCATGAAGATTGGAGGATGATACATTCATCTGTTCAATTTTTGGCCTTTCACAGCATTGAATGTGTGTAGATAGAAGAGATGCTTTATGAAAGACTTCAAAATTCACTTTGGTCTCTTTAGAAACTAAAAACAAATGTAGTTAAAACATTATTTCTTTCCATTTCAACATTTATAATTATCTGTCCTTGAAAATATTGTTTCAAATTTGGAAGTTTGACAACCTACATGTACAGGGCACGGCACATTGAACTATAACAGCGAGATGTGCTGTTACTGTGATCGGTGTGTCTAACATCATGTGATCAGTGTCTAGCTCCTGTGATCAGTGTCTAGCTCCTGTGATCAGTGTCTAGCTCCTGTGATCAGTGTCTAACACCATGTGATCAGTGTCTAACATCATGTGATCAGTGTCTAGCTCCTGTGATCAGTGTCTAGCTCCTGTGATCAGTGTCTAACACCATGTGATCAGTGTCTAACATCATGTGATCAGTGTCTAGCTCCTGTGATCAGTGTCTAGCTCCTGTGATCAGTGTCTAACACCATGTGATCAGTGTCTAACATCATGTGATCAGTGTCTAGCTCCTGTGATCAGTGTCTAGCTCCTGTGATCAGTGTCTAACACCATGTGATCAGTGTCTAACATCATGTGATCAGTGTCTAGCTCCTGTGATCAGTGTCTAGCTCCTGTGATCAGTGTCTAACACCATGTGATCAGTGTCTAACATCATGTGATCAGTGTCTAGCTCCTGTGATCAGTGTCTAGCTCCTGTGATCAGTGTCTAACACCATGTGATCAGTGTCTAACATCATGTGATCAGTGTCTAGCTCCTGTGATCAGTGTCTAGCTCCTGTGATCAGTGTCTAACACCATGTGATCAGTGTCTAACACCATGTGATCAGTGTCTAGCTCCTGTGATCAGTGTCTTACACCATGTGATCAGTGTCTAACACCATGTGATCAATGTCTAACATTATGTGATCAGTGTCTAGCTCATGTGATCAGTGTCTAGCTCCTGTGATCAGTGTCTAGCTCCTGTGATCAGTGTCTAACACCATGTTATCAGTGTCTAACATCATGTGATCAGTGTCTAGCTCCTGTGATCAGTGTCTAGCTCCTGTGATCAGTGTCTAACACCATGTGATCAGTGTCTAACATCATGTGATCAGTGTCTAGCTCCTGTGATCAGTGTCTAGCTCCTGTGATCAGTGTCTAACACCATGTGATCAGTGTCTAACATCATGTGATCAGTGTCTAGCTCCTGTGATCAGTGTCTAGCTCCTGTGATCAGTGTCTAACACCATGTGATCAGTGTCTAGCTCCTGTGATCAGTGTCTAGCTTCTGTGATCAGTGTCTAACACCATGTGATCAGTGTCTAACATCATGTGATCAGTGTCTAGCTCCTGTGATCAGTGTCTAGCTCCTGTGATCAGTGTCTAACACCATGTGATCAGTGTCTAACATCATGTGATCAGTGTCTAGCTCCTGTGATCAGTGTCTAGCTCCTGTGATCAGTGTCTAACACCATGTGATCAGTGTCTAACATCATGTGATCAGTGTCTAGCTCCTGTGATCAGTGTCTAGCTCCTGTGATCAGTGTCTAACACCATGTGATCAGTGTCTAACATCATGTGATCAGTGTCTAGCTCCTGTGATCAGTGTCTAGCTCCTGTGATCAGTGTCTAACACCATGTGATCAGTGTCTAACACCCTGTGATCAGTGTCTAGCTCCTGTGATCAGTGTCTAGCTCCTGTGATCAGTGTCTAACACCATGTGATCAGTATCTAGCTCCTTTGATCAGTGTCTAGCTCCTGTGATCAGTGTCTAACACCATGTTATCAGTGTCTAACACCATGTGATCAGTGTCTAGCTCCTGTGATCAAAGGAGCTAGATACTGATCACATGTTGTTAGACACTGATCACAGGTGCTAGACACTGATCACAGGAGCTAGACCCTCATCAAAGGAGCTAGATACTGATCACATGGTGTTAGAAACTGATCACTGGAGCTAGACACTGATCACAGGAGCTGGACATTGATCACATGGTGTTAGAAACTGATCAAATGTGTTAGACACTGATCACATACATAATGTAAGATACTGATCACAAGGGCTAAAAACAGATCACAAGAGCTAGACATTGATCACTAGAGCTAGACACTGATCACATGATGTTAGACACTGATCAGTGTCTAACATCATGTGATAAGTTTCAATCTATTGTGATAAGTGTCTAACATCATGTGATCAGTGTCTAGCTCTTGTGATCAGTGTCTAACACCATGTGATCAGTGTCTAACATCATGTGATCAGGTTCAAGCTATTGTGATCAGTGTCTAACATCATGTGATCAGTGTCTAACACCATGTGATCAGTGTTCAATATCATGTGATCAGTGTCTAGCTCTTGTGATCAATGTCTAGCTCTTGTGATCTGTTTTTAGCCCTTGTGATCAGTATCTTACATTATGTATGTGATCAGTGTCTAACACATTTGATCAGTTTCTAACACCATGTGATCAGTGTCTAACATCATGTGATCAGTGTCTAGCTCCTGTGATCAGTGTCTAGCTCCTGTGATCAGTGTCTAACATCATGTGATCAGTGTCTTAACACCATGTGATCAGTGTCTAACATCATGTGATCAGTGTCTAACATCATGTGATCAGTGTCTAGCTCTTGTGATCAGTGTCTAGCTCCTGTGATCAGTGTTTAGCTCCTGTGATCAGTGTCTAACACCATGTGATCAGTGTCTAGCTCTTGTGATCAGTGTCTAGCTTCTGTGATCAGTGTCTTACACCATGTGATCAGTGTCTTGCTCTTGTGATCAGTGTCTAGCTTCTGTGATCAGTGTCTAACACCATGTGATCAGTGTCTAGCTGCTGTGATCAGTATCTAGCTTCTGTGATCAGTGTCTAACACCATGTGATCAGTGTCTAACATCATGTGATCAGTGTCTAGCTCCTGTGATCAGTGACTAGCTCCTGTGATCAGTGTCTAACACCATGTTATCAGTGTCTAGCTCTTGTGATCAGTGCCTAACATCATGTGATCAGTGTCTAGCTCTTGTGTTCAGTGTCTAGCTTCTGTGATCAGTCTCTTACACCATGTGATCAGTGTCTTGCTCTTGTGATCAGTGGCTAGCTTCTGTGATCAGTGTCTAACCCCAGGTGATCAGTGTCTAGCTCTTGTGATCAGTGCCTAGCTTCTGTGATCAGTGTCTAACCCCAGGTGATCAGTGTCTAGCTCTTGTGATAAGTGTCTAGCTTCTGTGATCAGTGTCTTCCACCATGTGATCAGTGTCTTGCTCTTGTGATCAGTGTCTAGCTTCCGTGTTTAGTGTCTAACACCATGTGATCTGTGTCTAGCTCCTGAGATCAGTGTCTAGCTTCTGTGATCAGTCTCTTACACCATGTGATCAGTGTCTTGCTCTTGTGATCAGTGGCTAGCTTCTGTGATCAGTGTCTAACACCATTTGTTCAGTGTCTAGCTCCTGTGATCAGTGACTAGCTCCTGTGATCAGTGTCTAACACCATGGGATCAGTGTCTAACACCATGTGATCAGGGTCTAGCTCTTGTGATCAGTGGCTAGCTTCTGTGATCAGTGTCTAACCCCAGGTGATCAGTGTCTAGCTCTTGTGATCAGTGTCTAACACCATGTGAAGTGTCTAGCTCCTGTGATCAGTGTCAGCTTCTGTGATCAGTGTCTAACACCATGTGAAGTGTCTAGCTCCTGTGATCAGTGTTACTAGTCCCTTTTTGAACTACCTCTGTTTTTAGATGACTCTTACATTATGTATGTGATCAGTGTCTAACACATTTGATCAGTTTCTAACACCATGTGATCAGTGTCTAGCTCCTGTGATCAGTGTTACTAGTCCCTTTTTGAACTACCTCTGTTTTTAGATGACTGCAATCATGATTGACAATTCACAAAAAAAAGAAGGAGGACACTATTACAACAGAGGGTATAAACTCTGAAACGGACAGAGGACACTATTACAGGGTTTTTGAGTTTCTTGTTCTAACTCCATGCTATGTACATTGCACTGTGACCTTTCAGTGTCCCAGTCATTGTTATATTGTTGATTGTTACGTGTTCACAGTATTTATTATGTGTGTAGGTGATGTGAGTGCGGATGTTTTGATACTAGTTTCACTGTTGGATCCAGGCTTACTCGTGGTACAGACAACTGTTCTGGTCTTCCTGTGTTATGCAATTAAATGTGATCCCATATCAATCATCAACTCACAGTAGAGTCTAATCATTAAGTATTAATACCGTTCACTTAAAGAACAAACAGAAGTTATCATGCCATACCTCACAGATGTGTTCACATTATCCCCCATTTCTGTGTACATACGTTTTTCATACAGATGAATGAAAGAGCTAAAGGGGAATTCTTCTTTTGAAGTAACCATTTTCATTGGGAATTTGTTTTTATGAAGTAACCATTTTCGTTGGGAATTTGTTTTATTATATACATGTACATACATTTTTGGCTAAATTCTAAGAAAATAAATAGTGGTTCCTATTATTTAAAAAGACCATCGTGATTGCAACACATACTAGATATAATTTGTTTCCATTTGATATTGGATGTGGATGCACAAGTATGAAATAATAAGCCTTGTTGAAATGTAACGATTCCAGGCTGTAATTGATGTATCTGGTATTCCACCAATCCCTGGGAATCTCCAGGCTGTAATTGATGTATCTGGGAATCTATGAGGAATGTTTTGTTCCATTCTAATGAAGACAAATACATATTGTAACTACTGTCAAGTATCTTCACAATAAAGAAAATTTAATGGAAATCAGACCTAAAATTCCAGGACATTCTCAACAGCAACATATGCTACTTACCAGGTATAATGCTGTCATTGAGGAGTTTACCTGACCAAGTACACCATTATACCTTCTCAATTGTTAACATATTCCTGAGGTTTGCAATTATTGATATTGTAGGAGAGTGACAGCTGAAAACTAACTGAAATGATTTGCTTTGCATTTGATCGATGAGTGCCAGGTATTTGTTGTTGTTTTACGAGTGTTGATGGTTTGAGATGTTGGTTGAGATGTCGGGTGTGAACTGTGCTGGTTTGTTGAGGTGTTATATTGCCTAAACATAAACATAAACATATATCATTGAATATTGTTCATCATTTTATTCAGAACCCTTTCAGTTTATAATAGGTTGAAAGTCGGCTACATTTGATATTACTGTAACAAGATGATAAGGCACCACTTGATACACATTTTGGCTCCATTTTTTCTCTATTAAGAAGGATGAAATTCAAAAGCTATCTAACTTTCCTGGTGGATATGCTGTAAATAAGACAATTGCATAAATGGGAGATATAGATTGATGTATCCACTCATAAGTGACAAATTAAGGAAAGTTTTCTGAGTTGGCACTAGCAGCTAAGCTGTTGATGTGTGGTGTAGAAAAGTTGGTGGGCACTAGATAACAGGTATGTAAAGAGGCACTACCTAGTACACTGTATGTATGCTGACAACTTGTGTGGGAGGTTGGGCTCTACCTAGTACACTGTATGTATGCTGACAACTTGTGTGGGAGGTTGGGCTCTACCTAGTACACTGTATGTATGCTGACAACTTGTGTGGGAGGTTGGGCTCTACCTAGTACACTGTATGTATGCTGACAACTTGTGTGGGAGGTTGGGCTCTACCTAGTACACTGTATGTATGCTGACAACTTGTGTGGGAGGTTGGGCTCTACCTAGTACACTGTATGTATGCTGACAACTTGTGTGGGAGGTTGGGCTCTACCTAGTACACTGTATGTATGCTGACAACTTGTGTGGGAGGTTGGGCTCTACCTAGTACACTGTATGTATGCTGACAACTTGTGTGGGAGGTTGGGCTCTACCTAGTACACTGTATGTATGCTGACAACTTGTGTGGGAGGTTGGGCTCTACCTAGTACACTGTATGTATGCTGACAACTTGTGTGGGAGGTTGGGCTCTACCTAGTACACTGTATGTATGCTGACAACTTGTGTGGGAGGTTGGGCTCTACCTAGTACACTGTATGTATGCTGACAACTTGTGTGGGAGGTTGGGCTCTACCTAGTACACTGTATGTATGCTGACAACTTGTGTGGGAGGTTGGGCTCTACCTAGTACACTGTATGTATGCTGACAACTTGTGTGGGAGGTTGGGCTCTACCTAGTACACTGTATGTATGCTGACAACTTGTGTGGGAGGTTGGGCTCTACCTAGTACACTGTATGTATGCTGACAACTTGTGTGGGAGGTTGGGCTCTACCTAGTACACTGTATGTATGCTGACAACTTGTGTGGGAGGTTGGGCTCTACCTAGTACACTGTATGTATGCTGACAACTTGTGTGGGAGGTTGGGCTCTACCTAGTACACTGTATGTATGCTGACAACTTGTGTGGGAGGTTGGGCTCTACCTAGTACACTGTATGTATGCTGACAACTTGTGTGGGAGGTTGGGCTCTACCTCGTACACTGTATGTATGCTGACAACTTGTGTGGGATGTTGGGCTCTACCTAGTACACTGTATGTATGCTGACAACTTGTGTAGGAGGTTGGGCTCTACCTCGTACACTGTATGTATGCTGACAACTTGTGGTGGAGGTTATGCTCTACCTAGTACACTGTATGTATGCTGACAACTTGGGTGGGATGTTGGGCTCTACCTAGTACACTGTATGTATGCTGACAACATGTGTGGGAGGTTGGGCTCTACCCAGTACACTGTAAAATATCCAGTTATTAACTGTGGGCGATATAACAAGGGTTTGGTAAAATATCCAGTTACTAACCTAAGTTATTAAGGGATCCTTCAAAAACTAGAACCTTGAAACATGTTAAGAAAAGGAAAGGAGGCAACAAAAACCTAGTTTTAGTGTTTGGACAACCGCATGAAGTATGTTAACTTGTGAGCTGGAAATTGTTGGTACACTTATAAAATGATTGAAAAATATATTGGATTCAAAATCACCTTGAAAGTGGTTTCATAATGAAAGGTTCATACTCTTCAGTTCTCTTAAGAGAATGAAGGACCAGTCTACAAATAGTTTCCTTTTGTTTGTGACCATGTTAAGTATTAAAAACATGAAGGTGTTCTTTGCCCTGTTAATATGGATTAATGTAAATGTTGCACAAGAACCCTAATCACACACTCACTGGACGTTGTCGTCGTGTTGTGTGCATAATCCATATGTAATGTGGTCCTGGTCAGACCAGGCCAACTAAACTATTTGTTGCTTGTATGATTTATAAACTATTTTAAGAAAACAAGATATCAGGACTGCAATGTTTGTAACACTGGTTTATATTGGAGTTATTCCCCCTTGATCAGTATTGTACTGATGAATAAAGAAGATTTTTAAAGAAATGTTTTCATTTTTGTGTAATTTTTGTACAAGTACTGATGGTGGATGTCCCTTGATCAACACCAGCGAAGTTGGTTTAGTAATGTCACATTATTCAGGGAACCATTTTCTAGCCGAAAATTTGTTTTAGTTTCAGTGATAAGTCATTCATATTACACTGCTTTTCGTTTATTTGGAGAGAGTTGAAGCTGATTGCTGTTTTCTATGGCTAGATAGGGCCCTATATCAAATGTTGTATATTTATTTATTTATTTTATTTATGGTCCATTATCTGTTTGCCTTTTAATAATTCTTGTTACTGCTATTTCTCAAAAAGTCCTGAAACGATCTTTCTCAAATTTCACAGCAAGGGTCTCCTTGGTCCATAGTTTGTATGATTCATGAGACTGGTAGTGAAAAATAGACGGCTGAGATTTGACAGTTTGCTATCGCTATTCCTCAAGAAGTACATGATGGATCTTTCTCAAATTTTTAGCTCACCTGGCAATTGAGCGTATGCCTTGGTGCGTTGTCCAGCGTCAATATTTTGATTTAAACAACTTCTTGTTTATAACCAAAAAGCCTAGGGTGATGATTTTTGGCCAGAAGCAAACTGGGATTCAGGGCTATCAAGTTTGTTAAAATAAAAGAACTTCAACCATATTCAAGGTCACAGGGGTCAAAAATGTTAAAAACTTTATACAACTTCTTCTGAATAACCAAAATACCCATGGTGATATTTGACTGTAGCATGTTCAAATGACTGACCTTGAATTATGTTCAAGGTCACAGGGGTTAAATATGTTTAAAATCTTTAAACGACTTCTGAATAAACAAAAGGATCAGTATTGTGATATTTGGTCAGTAGCATGCTGGGATAAAGGGCTACCAAATTTGTTCAAATGAATGACTTCCACCTATATTCAAGGTCACAGGGGTCAAATATGTTAAAAGCTTTAAACGATTTCTTGTGAATAACCAAAATGCCCAGGGTGAATATATTTGGCCAGTAGCATGTTGGGATGAAAGGCTACCAATCTTTTCAAGAAATAACCTTCACTCATATTCAAGGTCACAGGGGTTACTAGTCTAAAAAAGCATGAAACAATTTCTTCTGAATAACCAAAATGCACAAGAGGTTGATATTTGGTCAGTAGCAGAATAGGATAAGGGCTACCAAGTTTGTCAAAAATAAATCACCAAGTCTTATATTTAAGGTCTCTGGGGTCAAATATGTTAGAAACTTTTAAACAATCTTCTGAATAACTAAAAGGCGCAGGATGATGATATTTGGACCAATAAAATGATGGGATGAAGGGATACCAAGTCTGTTCAAATGAATGACCTTGACATTTATTCAAGGTCACAGAGATAAGATATTTCCAAAAACTATAAACGACAGCCAATGTTAATATTTGGCCAGTAGCATGCTAGGATGAAGGGCTACCAAGTTTGTTCAAATTAATGACATTGAATTATATTCAATGTCACACATCCCTGGCTTCACGAAAGACCAAAATTTCATCTTTCTGAAACTAGATTGATCACTTAAACCGTCATTGTGTCTTTCATTTTTGTCGTAAAACTTTATTTATGTTCAATATGATAAAAATAATATGCAACAAAGTGGAAAACTAATGATTGTTTCTTTTACATGTTTACTGTAATTGAAGCACTTCGATTTTTGACCACGAAAAATGTGAAAAATAACACAATAATATTGATATTGTAAACTGTTTTTATTGATTTTACCACATCCATTCATGTGATCCTAAACACGTGAACACTGAACGTCTGGTGCACTTTTAAAACCAAAACAAAACATTGATGATAAAAAGGAAAGCATTCATGGAAATGTCATCTAATATCCATGACTCGTGTTCCCTTATCTTCTTTCGCTCTCAACAATCGAAAACAGTCCACCTCTAACTCGAACAGCTACAACAACCATAGGTGCCATACATGTCCTACCTGTGAAACATTGCAGGTTAATACTGCCTTTTGTCCAATAGTCATTTTCCTTGTGGAATGCGAAGTGTTTCGAGAATCAGCTTGGATAGTTTATCCTTACTAAGGCACGACACCGGCAATTCGGACAACCAGCAACGTCTCTATCAAAACCACGGTCACCACACTTTAACTTACAATATTCGTAGTCACACATTGCGTTTGAAGGTTTATATGATGAATCTGAAACAAAAAGGGAACACATTTGTGCAGAAATCACTTTAATAGCATAAATATAAAACATTTCTCGTGGCTACATTGTAATGACTTGTGTCCCGTTAGTCTATAGACAGCTTACTAAGGAAGGTACACAGTATTTAGTGAAGGTTTGTTCCCTGGGTTATATACAAATACAATTTTACTGCATTCAGTTTACTGTAAAACTGTAACTCATCTGATTGATGATGTATCTCAGACCGCGAATATCAACGTCTTACATTTATTGATAAGCTGGCAGGCTGAAATCCAAAGACCATTAACGTTTTGATAGATACACTGATAAATGTTAGAGAACATTGATATACGACAGTTTATTTCGCTTCATTGAATCGATCAGATATATTTGAACTAGGAAAAAAGACTAAAACAAAGTTTTAAATAAATAAACGAGATAATTTTTTGGTTTCGTCGTAATTTCTGTTTTTATGATGATTTTATAAACTACATGAATAAAAGGTTTAATCTTCTCACTTATTTATATTTAAATTAAACACCATTGCTTCTCTCCGAAATGTGATTGTGTTTATGGTTTTACCCGTATACTTGTCATCCTCGATATCCTCGATTACGCTCACTTTCGCTCTCTACAGTGTAGTGAAGAGAGCGAAAGTAAGCGTAACCCCTGGATATCGATGATGTATACTTATTGGATCACAGTGTAATTAATAACAAGTGAACATTCGGTCCAGATGTGGTTTGGGTTTTGGGTTTTACTTCTACACAACAGCTGTGATCAGTTGAGATGACTATGTTGTGGCTATACTGAAGGGTCACTCTAAAGCATCAACCCGCTGCTTGACACGGTAACTATTCTGATAACGGGCTAATAATGTAAGGTGCCTATATAGAGAGGTACCTAAATATAGAGGTACCTATAGAGAGAGGTACCTATATATAGAGGTACATATATAGAGAGGTACCTATATATAGAGGTACCTATATACAGATGTACCTATATAGAGAGGTACCTATATAGAAAGGTACCTATATATAGAGGTACCTATAGAGAGAGGTACATATTTAGAGAGGTACCTATATATAGAGGTACCTATATAGAGAGGTACCTATATAGAGGTACATATATAGAGGTACCTATATAGAGAGGTACCTACATAGAGAGGTACCTATATAGAGAGGTACATATGTAGAGATGTGCCTATATAGAGAGGTACCTATATAGAGAGGTACATATATAGAGAGGAACATATATAGAGAGGTACATATATAGAGGTACATATGTAGAGAGATACCTATATAGAGAGGTACCTATATATAGAGGTACATATATAGAGAGGTACATATATAGAGGTACATATGTAGAGAGGTACCTATATAGAGAGGTACCTATATAGAGAGGTACATATATAGAGAGGTACATATATAGAGGTACATATGTAGAGAGGTACCTATATAGAGAGGTACCTATATAGAGAGGTACCTATATAAAGGTACATATGTAGAGATGTGCCTATATACAGAGGAACCTATATAGAGGTACCTATATAGAGGTACATATATAGAGAGGCACCTATATATAGAGGTACATATGTAGAGATGTGCCTATACACAGAGGTACCTATATAGAGGTACCTATATAGAGAGGTACCTATATATAGAGGTACATATATAGAGAGGTACATATATAGAGGCACATATGTAGAGAGGTACCTATATAGAGAGGTAACTATATAGAGAGGTACATATATAGAGAGGAACATATATAGAGAGGTACAGATATAGAGGTACATATGTAGAGAGGTACCTATATAGAGGTACCTATATAGAGAGGTACCTATATATAGAGATACATATGTAGAGATGTGCCTATATAGAGAGGTATCTATATAGAGAGGTACCTATATAGAGGTACATATGTAGAGATGTGCCTATATACAGAGGTACCTATATAGAGGTACCTATATAGAGGTACATATAGATGTGCCTATATAGAGAGGTATCTATATATGTAGAGATGTGCCTATATAGAGAGGTACCTACATAGAGAGGTTCCTATATAGAGAGGTACCTACATAGAGAGGTACCTATATAGAGAGGTACATATATACAGAACAGACTTGGTAAACATGATAACAGTTATTAGTAACGAAGATTGTAATTGTTTAACCTACCTCCAGCCGGCTCACACTGACAGGACCAACAACTGGGCCCCGTCACTGCGGGGTTAGCAATGGAACAGTATATGGCGCATGGGGTACACTTCATTGGGGCTGTAATGATAATAACAATGGAGATAGAAAACTATGTGTATGGTGTTAAACGGACGAAATGGAATTACAAAAGGATTAGGGATATTAATACATCAAACAATTTTAATTGTAGGTCAATTGGTAAAATGATATTTCTTATTTTTTTATGTATTGCATACATTGCTTTTTGAGCCTGTTCAACAAGTTTTTTTCTTGCTTTACAAAAACTGCCATTATAATGTTATGTAGGTAGCTTAATTGTGCCAAACATCCCTCCATTCTCCCACCCCAAGCCGACAGGGAGTTTCTTTCTACCTGGAATTGTGGCCACTTGTTAACACATATCTAGGTACATCGAGAAATATAATACTACCGTAGTACAACTTTTGAAGCATTGTTTGTACTTCATAAATCTAACGTGATAACCTTGTGATACATCTCACCAAAAAACGTGCTAATGGCACTACACATTTGAAGTGGATTTTATCGTTTATTATACCTGACCCCTTGACCTATTGCTTCACTTTGTGTGTGTTATTAATGTATGATTATTTTCATGAAAACACGCATTCTGTGGGTATTGATGAATCAATACATGTCCCCTACCGGCCCCCCAAACTTGAACCTTCAGATTTTGGCCAAGATAGTTAAGTTGAAAACATGTGAAAAATTTAAAATAAAGAAACTTATTTTTCCACTGTCATTAAATAGCATTAATGTTAGACGCCTAAAGAACCTCTGTACATAAAATCAGCATCCTAACACTATTATTAAGTGAACGGTGAGCCATTACAAAACTTTAACCCAAACTTTAACCTGCAGATTTTGGCCAAGATAGTTAAGTCCAAAACCTGTCAAAAATTGAAAAGATATATCCATTTTCAATCCACAGTATTAATGCTAGACCCCTATAGAACTTTATGCAAATAATCAACATCGATCCTAACATCATTATTAAGTGTATGGTAACTCATTACAAAACTTAAACCAAAACCTTAACCAAAGGTAACGGACGGACGACGGACGGACGGCTGGACGGACGGACGCAGACAAAACCTATAGTCCCCCCGGTTTCACCGGTAGGGGACTGATAATATGTGTATACCAAATGTAAAAACGTTCTTAATTTGTTATATAGACCCAACGAATGTCGGCTGCATATGATCCTAAGTAATTTTGTAGAAAGATATAAAATACGTATGTAAAAGTGACGCTCCTCAGCAATTGGATTGTATTGCTACCACAGATACTATAGTACGTGTTCCATAACTTATCTATGTAAATATCGCATGATGCACTACAAATATTCCACCCACTTCCCAACATTATTATTTTCTTTTAGATATTTATATTTAAGTAGATGTAGATACTCCAAAAATACAAACACCAGGCAGCCACCTCGGCGACAGGTATAAACACAGGTAAGTACACAGTCATACCATTGGAATGTAATTGACACCATCGCGTCTAAGTACCAACAGGTACTGTTTTATTCTGGTCGATCTGTCTGAGATATCGAAAATTGCAAAGTCATATTTTTCTTTAAAGCATATGTATTAGTTACAGACATATCTACACATCCAAAGACACATACAGACACTCATTCTTTCCATACACCATAATACAGTGGAACCTCCTACCCAAAACAATAATCCAATCAGAAACACTAGCAGAATTCAGGACATGCACCACATATAACATAATCGAACATATACAAAACCTACAACATAACTAACGCTCACTGCTTTTAACCTGTTTTTATCCTATAGCAAATAACAAAAAATATAATAAAAAATCACTGTACATAATAATCAACGCACAACATCACAAGACCGACTACCGTAATCGTCGGTATCGACGGAGGAAGTAATGTATATTATGTGTAGTTTTAGTGAAATAAAACAGTATAAAGTCACTATTTTGTAAATACAAAATACAAATCACTTTAAATTATTTTAAATGTTCATTAAAAAACCGATTTAATGTTAAAAGATGTGTCAATGATCTTTGGATAATCATTACACGTAATATACCCAAAAACTGTTATTCAGTAATAGGGCATTATCAACTGTCTATACAAACGAATTCACTTCAGTAACAATGGGCAAGACGACCAAGCTTTATCTATTGTATAATCGTAATATCTATTGTATAATCGTAATATCTATTGTATAATCGTAATATCTTTTGTATATTAAAAATGTGTGAAAGGAATGATAATAACAAGACTCCACTTACCTGTTGATACAGTCACTGCTAATAGAATAAGGATGAAAATTAGTCTAGTGCCGACTATGTTGTACGTCATGTTTTTGGGCTAAACAGAATGGCCAGGTCATGACGACGTTAATTAAAGTACTGAAGTACATACACATAACACCACATATACACCTGAGTTGTTTATGGTGACGTAGACGTTCACTGAGCTGGCCTTTCTACCTGATTGACAGCTGTTCAATAAGACAGGCGATACAACGATACCCAGGACCAGGTGCGGATACTCGGAACCGTCTCCTCGCCTCCCCTCGAGCTCTCACTGTGGTAATGGACATTAGTGGACCCTGGCGCTCATCAGCACGGGACTGGACGCGCGCGACACCTCCCACCTCACGTACAGGGGACGAAACACCCCATGTCAGTACTCATAAATAAAGTGCCTTATACTGTTGTTAAAACTAAATATTTTCACTGGAGCAGGTGATGGCACAAGATGGTGGATTCCTTTTGTATGATTCCGCTCGGCGATAAAGGTTTAGATATCTACTGTGCTATAGCTGTAATTAAACCTATCAAAGGGAAAGTCTTCGGACCAGTTAGCCCCGAGTATCCAGTGCCCGGCACACGATGACAGTGCTAAAATCATAGGAGTGGACAGGTGACCTCTTGTCCCGACACCAACCAGAACAGAAGAACACTATATTGCAGCTAAACCTGACAACGACGATGAACTTTTTATTCGTATAACGATCGAGTAGAGAGATGCACAAACATGATGCATTGCGATTTAATTATCTTGTTAACATCAACAATAAATTTTACCAGAGACGTATATGTCTCTGAATTTACCAATGATATCAATTCAAGGTTGCTTACAAAATTGAGGAACGTATTTAAGTTAAATATGTTTGGTCTTTTGAAATAATATTTAGACATATGCCATCTTCGATACTCCAGGGGTTACGGGCACCTTCGCTCTCTGCACCCAAGGAATATGTCATAGCAAAATTGAAGACACGAAGATAGCTGTTTGATTGGTCTCAACTTTTTACAAAGGAGCGACACCCGACTTTAAAGTCTGTCAATTTTAACCGTTAGGTGACCGCGAAATTGTTTTGATGTACATCAAAGGATCGAACTAGCCTTCTTGTCTCTTTCAATTTGGCTATGACATATTCCAAGGGTGCAGAGAGCGTTAGTGAGCGTAACCCCTCGATATCGAGGATGTTGTGAACGTAACCCCTCGATATCGAGGATGTAGTGAGCGTAACCCCTCGATATCGAGGATGTTGTGAACGTAACCCCTCGATATCGAGGATGTTGTGAGTGTAACCCCTCGATATCGAGGATGTAGTGAGTGTAACCCCTCGATATCGAGGATGTAGTGAACGTAACCCCTCGATATCGAGGATGTAGTGAGCGTAACCCCTCGATATCGAGGATGTAGTGAGCGTAACCCCTCGATATCGAGGATGTAGTGAACGTAACCCCTCGATATCGAGGATGTAGTGAGCGTAACCCCTCGATATCGAGGATGTAGTGAGCGTAACCCCTCGATATCGAGGATGTAGTGAACGTAACCCCTCGATATCGAGGATGTAGTGAGCGTAACCCCTCGATATCGAGGATGTAGTGAGCGTAACCCCTCGATATCGAGGATGTTGTGAACGTAACCCCTCGATATCGAGGATGTAGTGAGCGTAACCCCTCGATATCGAGGATGTAGTGAGCGTAACCCCTCGATATCGAGGATGTAGTGAACGTAACCCCTCGATATCGAGGATGTAGTGAGCGTAACCCCTCGATATCGAGGATGTAGTGAGCGTAAACCCTCGATATCGAGGATGTAGTGAGCGTAACCCCTCGATATCGAGGATGTAGTGAACGTAACCCCTCGATATCGAGGATGTAGTGAACGTAACCCCTCGATATCGAGGATGTAGTGAGCGTAAACCCTCGATATCGAGGATGTAGTGAGCGTAACCCCTCGATATCGAGGATGTTGTGAACGTAACCCCTCGATATCGAGGATGTAGTGAGTGTAACCCCTCGATATCGATGATGTAGTGAACGTTACCCCTCGATATCGAGGATGTAGTGAGCGTAACCCCTCGATATCGAGGATGTAGTGAGCGTAACCCCTGGACATCGAGGATGGACATATGCTTTGTTATACTGGTATTAATTGTTCAGTATAAATGAATAGATAATGAAATTGATGAAATAAGTTATATAATCTTTCGTATCGTGCTAAACTGGACTACCTTCCATATTCAATTGATATTTTAATATTACCTGTTCTAAATTTACAATACACCCCAGCTTGGAGGGAGGTCAAGAAGGTACCTTCCTCGACTCAGGTCTAGTTTACATACTCTTTGGTTAGTTCCTCAGCAGAAATCAAACATTCCGTTTCTCCAATAACATATGAATTTATCTTTTGTCTCATTAAAATGTACTCAAATGTACTCGTTAGTCTGTGTTTAGTTGTAAACTGTCAAAGATATGCATTATTTCATAGGCTTTGACAATGATCGCCATATAGGAGTAAGTCTCAAGTTAAATCTTCACGAAACTCTCTTATTAATAGATTACGATGCTGGGTGTATATGTGACAGACACAGAGGAAGTGATAAGAGTCTTCGCAAACGTATTCAGCTGCTTTGGTTAAATTTGCTCTAAATAGGTCATAGTTGAGATCGCATGGGTTCTCAAACGACAATAAGGTATAAATTTAGTTTACGAGAATCCCATACCAGAAAGCATATATTCCTTTTGATTTTATATTTGTTTCAAAAGAAGTGAGAGTAGCCAAATTCTTTATTGATATATCTAGGTCATTCCACATGTTTGAAGTTGATGGAAAAAAATAATTGCGCATAGTTTCAAGCCTAAAGTTTGGTTGTCTTAAATGTTGAGAATGTCTTAGGTTATAACGGGAAATATCCCCAATGCTATCTGGTAGGGTGTCACACAAATAATTTGGAGTGGTATCGTTTTTAATTGTGAAGGATAGGGATAATTTTCTGTTTTTCCTTCTAGTACTTCGTGGAACCCAGTCAATTTCATTAAATATATGTTCGACTTTTGTGTATATGGGTAGTCCTGTTACAATTCGTGCAGCGTCTATCTGAGTATTTTCAAGTTTTGATGAATTTACTACTCCACAATTGTCCCACACTTCACATGCATACTCTAAAAGGGGTCGAATTTAAGTTAAATATAGTTTTTTAGTGTTATTTCTACTGAGTATACATTGCATTTTACGAAGGGTTGCTATATATTTTGCCTTTTTTTAGCAAGTTCGTCTACATGTTTATTCCATTTGCCGTCGCTACTTAGTATAACTCGAAGGTGTTTGCGGTTATCTGTTAAAAGGATAGAAGTATAGTTAAAAATAAATTTGGGTTGAAAGGGCAGATTTGTATTAGAAGCAATCATGATTTCTTTTTTTGTTTAGGATTGAAGGACATCAGCCAATTTTTAGACCATTTCTCTAGAGTTTTAAGGTCTTTATTTCTTCACTATTTCAATATTTTCTAGGTTTGGTGATGAGTATGAAAGCGACGTATCGTCAGCAAAAAGACGAGATAAAGAGGAGAGTTAGGCATAAGTTGAAATGTGGTTAATAGAGGTCAGGAAGAATAGGGGGCCTAACACTGAACCTTGGGAACACCGGCGTTTCATGAATAAAGACGGATTGCTTACGCTCAAAAAGATAGCTTTCCAATTAAGAAGACTGCCTGAAATACCATGTTGATGAAGTTTGTATATAAGCTCTCTGTGCCAAACTCGATCGAAGGCCTTTGAAAAATCACAAAAAGCAAAAGCTGTATGTTCATGATTTTTTAATGCTCACAGCATAGAATGGTACATTTCAATGAGTTGATGCACACAAGTATGATTGGGTAAGAAACCAGACAGAAATCTGTAAATAAGATTATTAGGGTTAAAAAAGCTGTAAATATGTTTATAGACTACACGTTCAAATAATTTTCCAACACAGCTTAAGAATGATATTGGTCTTTAATTTGGAACATTATGCGTGTCGCCAGACTTAAAGATTGACATGGCGTTTGCTAATTTCCATTTATCGGGATATATGCCATTGAATAAGGAGTGATTAAAAATGAGGGAAAGGGGAATGGCAATCTCATTTGCTACACGTTTTAACATACGATGACTGATTCCGTCTGGCCCTGTTGCCTTATTTACATCTAGTTTGTTAATATACGGAATTTTGGACAAAAGAGAGTCGGTTCGTTTTTCTAAAATGTGAATAGGTTTGTTTCGGTCTACTTTGGAATGACTGGAGATTGAAGAAAATAGTCATTAAAAAGTTCGTATATTTGCTTAGTTTCGTTCGTGTATTCGTTAGCATTTTCATCAAAAAGTGGTGATATATCAGTATGCTTCCTTTCAGTACACGCCTTAACAATTTCCAGTAGGTTTTGGGGTTAGATCTACTTTTGACTATGATAGAGTCTATGTTTTCGTAGAAAAGTTCTTTTGGTCGTTTTATCATATTATTTGTTTCTTGATTGCTTATATTTCATCCTATTAGAATCATTATTATTATTTATTAGTATCTTTTATTTAAGCGACCTCTAGTACGTATTTGCCTTCTGACAATGTTATTGATATCTACAGCGTTAAGTATAGTGGTTGTCAGAAAACGGCACACATGTCATTTACATCATTAAACATATTAAGTTGGTTTTCCCATGATATATTTGTGATAAAATGTTTAAACTTTTCAATGTCTGTTTTGTCATATAGCCATACCTTTCGTTTGCAAACTGTTGGGTTTGTTTCGGTACTTCAATTATTGTAAAAACAGCATTGTGGTCACTTATATTTTCATCAATGTTAATTACTTCACTGAAAAAAATGTTGATTGTGTTACTGACAATTACTGGATCTAATAACGTTGCTGAATGGTCCGTTATTCTGGTAGGTTCGGTTATAATATTTGACAACTGGTACAAATGAGTAAGTTGAAAAATTCGTCTCTGGAGGTTTTTATAAAGTCAACATTTAGATCGCCCATCAAAATAACATTATCTGTAATATAGAATGCCAGGTCGGGGGAATGTTTTAGTCTCTGCCATATACCGTCAGAATAGTTTAGATTAGGTGGTCTGTATAGATTACCTATTATATGTGTAGTATTATTTAAATGAACTTGAACCCTTATTTCTTCATCATTAGCAAATTCTAACTCGGGTTTTCTTTTAACTACGAGAGATGGAGAATATTATAACAATACACCCCCTCCGAACATATTCCTGTCTTTTCGAAACGGATTGTCGCTAAATCCCTGTAGCTTAATTTCTTCATTAGGAATAGAAGGATCCAAATGAGTTTCGGCTATACAAAGAATGTCGACATCGTCGGTAAATGCGTCAATGTAGCTTATTTTGTTTCGTATACTTCGAATGTTTAGATGCATAAGATTCAGTGAATGGATTGCCGTCATATTACTAGAGTT